GGCTCGCCGCTCTCGCCATTCATTAAACTTTCAAACGGAATAATTGATGTGTCCGCGCGCGCCGCAGAGAGGAAAAATCGGTTGCAAAAAAACAACTTGGTAATTGGAGAGTTTGTTAAAACAAGCATCGTCGTTAGCCCGGAAAACAACATACTGCTCTCCGGCCAGGGAGAGACAAAAAAAACAACACGCTTTTGCTTTTTGGCAAGAATTTGAGTACAACTTGCCTGAGGGTTGGGAGTGGGTTGATTCTGCCGACGCGAGGAATGTCGCAAGTTGATTAAAATCGTCTCATCAAAGAGCAAATTAATGATTATATTTTTTAATATGAAAACTTTGGCCGCGCCTAATTAATAATCGGTGAGGCTTAATTACAAAAAGGCGACATATTTTTTGAGCAGAAAACACGTCACAGGCGAATTCCCTGAAAGTTTGCTCGTCCTTTATGGGCGCAGACCCCCTGCTTCTCTCTTCTTTGGCTGCTCCTGCCCTGCCGGCGATGAAACCGACTTCAAAGAGACTTGCCGGAAAAAGCAGGCGGAGGGTTTTGGGGGTGGCTTTCGCTGTGGTGGAGCGAGATAAGCATCTTTTTCGACTCCCCAAACACATATGCCGCCGCATCTCTTCCATCATCTCTTCTCTCGGTATGATGACTGAATTTTGCAAATCGGTCTCGGTGAAGAAGAAGGAGGCAGATTAAAGCTGTTGCATGCGGGTTCACTGCAAACCGACCGCTCGTGGCTGTTTGTTATTATTTTCCATTTTTCATCAAAATATGTAAAAGAGAGAGAGAAAGCAGAGAACACATCAAAGCTTTTGAATGAATCACGCGGCTGGCGCGCGCAGATTACACCGCTTTTGTTAAAATGTGGGTAGGAGCCATTTTTCGCCGGCTGTATTTTGAAAACGGCTACTGGGAAAACTCAATCAATGCTTTTTCCCAAACAAAGTACAACATTAATATTTGCATAATCACCTAATTACGATCATTTTAATCAGCCCATGCATAGTTGGAGATTGATGCACTTTTCAGTTACATTGAGTTTCTCATATAAACTCTTAACTCAATTCGATTTTATATATTTTTATTAACGTTTCCTAATTTTCCTTCCGTCGGATATTGCATACATATACTTATATTGAAGATCCACTTAATAGTTTAATGAAATTTATTATAATTAATGTAAAATTGACAAAATTTAATTATTTTTTATGCTCAAAAAGTATGCTATAAATTATATTATTTATGTTATATATATAATTTAATTTTTTTTTAAATATAAAAACATGTAAAACAGAGATTAACGTAAGTGAATTTTCAGTTTAAAATTACTACTTATTACAAAACCTTCATAAATGGGGAAAAAACAAATTTTCAAAAAAATTCAACGTTTCATTTACACTTTTGCTAATTTTTTCTGCCTTTAATTTCAGTTTTTTCTGAGCCCTAGTTTTGAATATTACCCGCCAGCACAGGTACACAAAATAATTGGCCATTAATAACGTTTATTTTTCCGTGCTGCATTTATGGCGGTGAGCAAACAAATAGTGGTTTGTTTGCTTTTATTCGGCGTGCGAGCGGCGGTGGAATTAATTTGAGTCGCTTTTTCCCTCTCGCTCCTGTATATGCTGGTTTTGCACTGCTCTCCCCCGAGGACAAGCAAAGAGACATCACGTACGTGTAATGACTCAGTGGTGCAGCTCCTTATAAATGCAACACCAGTTGATCGTTTGCGTTTTAACGAGCGGCATGATGCATTGCTCCTTGAAACCAGCTTAATTATTCAGACGTGTCTGCGCAGCTGATGGCAATAATTCTCAAGAGCGCGTTCGCAGATCTCTCGCAACGACACTTTCCAATTAAAATCGGCCGTAAATCAGCTGCCGTCCAATTTAGATAACAACCAACAAGTGGCTTGTAAGTGGCAGAAATCTCCGCTAACAGGAATAAAAAAGATCGCTCAACTCGCAGAGATTGGCGAATAATGAGAGCTATACTCAATTCAATGAGTTGTGAATCAGGTTAAGTCAATCAAATGAAAGGTTCATGGAAGCTACAAATTGATTTAAGATGAAGCTCCATCATACTTGTAATACAGACCTTTAAATATAATTTACTAAATATGTATAATTCTTTAATAACTCTATGAATCTCAAATGTTTTAAATTATGACTTTTTTTAATGATAAATGAGGCTTTCATTAAAAAATCTTTTGATATTGATCAATCAGATTTATTGAATAGTAGACAGAGAGGCAAAAAGAATTGAATAGCCCTCACGCTTTCCATTTTTTCGCCGTCGTATTTTATTCATCGCCAAGAGGGAATTCACAAAAGCGATATATATATATTTTTGTCTGGCGAAAGTGTTGCGAAATAATGAAAAAAGGGAAAAAGCGTTGGTCCGTCGCGCATGCAAAGCAGGAGTGATTTTTCGCTCGCTTATAAAAAATTCATTTTGCGCCGCGCCAGAGAGTGCGTGTGTTGCGAATTTGCATAAGCGAACATAAAAAGTATTTTAAGTTTTGCATATTAGCCGAACCTGTAACCGAGCAGAATCTCTGCCCTTGCTCTTCGACGAGAGAAAAGTAGTGCGTGTAAGGAAGGGACGCGCACTCTGAGAAAAGAAAGAAGTTTTCCCATTATTATGCAAACGCCGCCCGCTTTTTTAAGTAGGTCTGGCAAGCGGGGTGACGCGTCCGAAAGAGAATGGAGCCAGCAGGGTGTTATTCGCAGGAAATAGGCTGCCATTTCTTCTCGTCTACTTCTTTTTTCACCTGATGTGCGCCGCGCCCTCCGCCATTATGCATCGCTGGAGAAAAGACACGTTCTCTTTCTCTCTCTCTCTCGTTCTCCAATAAAAAGTGCGTGTGATACCAGCGCTCTACATTTTTAACACTCTTTAGTGCCTCTTTTGAAGCGCTTTATTTATCTGGTCTCGAAAGTGGAGCAACAACAAAAACGGCGAACAAACAAAAATATACTCGGAACATTTTTGTGCGTCCCAGCTCTTTTGTGATGTATCACTTGTCTCGCTGCGAGTGATAATGCTGAGAGCTGCCTGAGTGCCAAAATGAATAAAACAATACGCGTTGATGGGCCGTGTTTTTCAAATCGTGCTTTTTTGACATGCAAAAAGGGGTTGTCAGTCATGCCAGCCAGTGTGTTGGCTTCAAAACTTCGCAAAGTCAGTTTTAGATAGTACTTCTTCTTTTTGGAGGATTTGAAATGTATTTAAAAAAAGACCTTTACAAACTGACGTTGAATTTTACATTTAGCTTTTTGGCTAGACTGGATATTATCTTTTGGTGCAAAAAAAAAAAAGGAAATATATAAATAAAAAATAAAAGTAAGCGTCAAAAATTTTAAAATAACTTTTCCATTGTATTATCAAAATTTTTTATAATATAGAGCATATCAAAAATAAAAAATGCTCTGGAGTATAATTTTATTTTAAAATTTTCAAATTTTAAGTTATAGTTAATACGTTTATTGTAATTATATTATTTGACTGAATTTAAAAAAAAAGATAATAATTATAAAAAGAGGCTAAAAGCTATTAATATAATAAATAATCTGTAGTGATCATTTGTAAATCTGACACCCCTCTAATTTCAAAATTCCTACTTCACTGTTAATCAGTTAATAATTTGTTGGAAATTATATGATCATATTTATTGAGATTTTTAGGCAAACTCATTATTTCATTTATAAAATGAAAATTTTGATTGAGGTGCAAAAATTGAAAAGAAAATCATTTTTCAAATTTTTGCAAAAAGAAAAAAATAATAAATGATTAAAAAGCATGGAAAAAATCAAGCTTTGCCTTGATTTTAATAACTTTAATGGCAGCTTTATGCCTTGCCTGCGTCAAAACGTTTTGCAAGCCTGTGCAAAAAATAATCCGTTTAAAGTATATAAAAAAATCATGCTCGTGCCGACACTGAAAAATGGTGCCAGCGATGAGATTGGCCCGCGAAAAATATTCCGCGAAATGCAAATCTCGGCACCGCGCGTTCATGCACTGCTGCTGTGCGAACTGAGCAGGGCAGAGGGCAAAACAAACTCCGCAGCAGCGCACGGGACCGCAAAACCGCCACTGTGTTTTTTCGCCGAGCTGCTTCGCTCGCCAGGCAGGCCGTAGATATGGCGGGCGGGCTGACTGGGAGCGCACACATCACCAGCAGTTCAAATAATTATACAAAACCTCCGGCTGCCAGGTTCTGATTACTGAGCCACCGCCGTGCGCGCTTGCTCGCTTTTGTAAACACAAAACCACGAGGGATGAACAAAGCCCGAGGAGGAGGACGGAATCAATCAAACTGCCTGGCTGCTGCCGAGCTTTTTAATTACCGAGCTTCGGAGGAATGCCAAATATTCTGTTGTGCGGTTGTTGTGTATTCATGATTACTCAAATTCAAATCCACAACATATACAATCGTTTCGCATCAAAGAAGATTGAAACTATAACTCATGTTGAGATATCGTCAAGTCTCAATTTACATAAAATTATTAAAAATGCATAAATTATCTCTAAATGTGGAGTTAATTACAAAGCAAATTTAATATTCAGTTAATTCAAAATTAGAACATAAATTATATTTTTATAATTTATGTTTGAGAAACAAGTTATAATCCTGCACAATAATTGAATTCTTATAAATATAAATTGTAATTTTACATTAACATCTTATTAATCCAAAATCAAAATTTTTCATATATTTTTTTTATTATTATTCTTTTGCACACAGTGGTGCAAGTTATATTTTAAACTCGCACAAAATTTACATGAATAAAAAATATATATTTGCAAAACTTATGCAACCTGCCTAGCATCTGAGTAGACGGGTTGCATAATCAGAACATTTTCTACTAGATCACTCCACTGCCCTGCTTTTAAATGCTTCTCCAAACACCCGATATGCCGACTAGGAATGCAAAACAAATTCCCAAGTTCGTTCAACATTTCACTCGAACGGTGTTTTCGCTGCTCGTTTCAGGTGAATACCACGGCTTGGAGCTGTTGAATGGCGGCGTCGGTAAGGGCGGCGGCACCCAGAGCAACGCACAGGCCGCGGTTTACGGTGAGTGTTTATTTAGAAATTCCTTGCCTCTCTTTATTTCTCATCGCGTCGTCATATATCCCGGAGCAATAAAATCGCTAAGGGGGTTCGGAAACGACTCCTGCATGCGCTTCTGGGTAAATAAGTTATGCAGTAATTGAAGTGAACGCCGATAATGGTGGTTGAAAACGGAAAACGCGTGCCGGTCTGTCGGTCGGTCTAAGACGGCGTTGTCTATTATTTACGCCAGTGCAAATTGAACACTGGTTGAGAAAGAGAAGCCAGCAAGAGAGAGAGAATCGGTAGAGGACTGCGCGCGCCAACTTGCAAGAAGAGAACCTTTTCCTCTCTTGAAACCCAATCTCAATGTTTAATGAGCTCCGTCTCGCGGCGCACCCCATTTGCTTCTATACCAATACGCCGACTGGGATGCAGTGTCACAAACTACCATCATTGGATCATTGTCATATAATCACGAAAGTTCATAATAGCCAAATTTAACACCTCAATTTAAATTTTATGTTCTTAAAATAAAAAAATAAAAATTAAACAAGTTTTTACTTAACTTTTCTCTATAAATGCTTTATGATCAAAGTTCATTATGATATTTGAATTGTAAACTTAACGTTTATTCAATTATATCAGAAGAGTAGAATATCAATTTTTTTCCCAAAACTTACATAACAATTATAAAGCCGACTTAAATACTGTTTCCTATAAACTTCAAACTTTTCTTTCCAACGATACAGTCTGTTTTTCGCCGACCTCTAGCCAATCCGGCCAGAGTGGAGAGAGAAAGCGAGGAAAGGCAAGTAAACGACCGTAATCATCAATATGCTCTCGACTCCCATGTCTTTTTTCTCGCACCATGAACGCGCGGTTTGTCAGCGTCTCTGCCTCATTTCTTCACCATCGGCAATCAATACGTCCGCCAGCCCTAAATGGGCGAGCGCCGAGGAAAGCTGCTAGGGCCTCTCTTTCCTGCTTCATTCCGAGACCGAGGGCAAACACGCGCCGTATATTATATACCTTGGCCAACGCACCAATTTGCAAAAGGAAATTCCTTCTCGCTAAGCCTGCTCATTTAAAAAGGGAATTTCCTCGGGCAACTTTTCCTACCGAGCACAAAAGAAAACGAAATATTCCTTCCCTGTACAATGCAAAACTTCCACCTTTCCTGGGGGGCAACCGAAATATTTATCTATAAATAATAAGTTTTCAATGGTAGCGTCCTTCGACAGTGATTTGGCCCGGAAAAACTCACCGAGCGAAAAATCCTTTCGCTGCCGTCACCGCACGCCAAAGCTGATTCGATTTCGACAAAGCCGCTCTGCCATTTTTGCTCTTTGACGTCGACGGCTGATTTATTATTAAAATTCGAAACCGATGCGAGAGAGTGCGCCTCACCTGCGCCGTCAAAGCTCATTTGCCCATTATCGAGAGTTTTAGAGCAACCGCCCGCGGTGATTTCGATCAAAAGAACTTTCCTCTCTTTCGAGCACAAAACAGATTTTTGCCGCTCATTATGAAGAAGATTCGGTAGCCTCAATGAGCTTACCTTATTTATAAATAATATTTTTGCCTTAATTAACAAAACCTTCGGGCCAAGCATTGTTAATTCTGGAAATAGTAGGAAGGGTTCTCCTTCCCCTTATAGCAAAGGTCGTTTTAATCAGCGAGCCAACTTTAATTCGTATCATGCCCAGGTAGGTTCCCAAGTGTAATGTCGGTCTTCATGCTCTCTCGTAATAACGTGCGGCTTTCTTCTCTCGCGAAAAAAGGACCCGTGTCGGATCTCTCAAGGGCACTCGCAGCAAGAATTATGGCATGGTGGAAATTTGGCTCTTTGCTGGCGCACGCTTTCAGAGTGGATTGTGAAATGAGTGTTTCTTTTCCACCTCCAAGAAAGTTCAACAGCTGAATATATGGGAGGTGTGAATGTTTCATCTTCTGCAGTTGAAATAAAATCTGATTTTTTTTATCATTCATGAGAATAGAAAATAAAATGAATAATATTTTAACAAAACAGTTTATATTACAATTATAAATAAAACTAATTAACTGTTAAAATTAGACATTTTTTAATTTTTATTACAACAAATGCAAATTTTTACTGCATGTTTCGATGCTGCATTTTTCAATTTTATTTAATGTGTTTTCTAATCAGCTCAGTTGCACAAACCCTTTACGTGCATGTAATTCGCCTTATCTCAAGAAACTTAATTGCCCACTGCACTCGTGTATCGCAGAGGATCTGCTCTCTCAAAATTAATTAAGCCCAAGTATAAAAAATAATTGCGGTCCCCCGTCGCTGGCGGCGCCGGATCGAGTACTCTCTTTGTCGCGAGAGGCAAAGTGCAACGCGTATTTGCATATAAATGGAGTGCAACGTGCTGGAGAAAATAATAAAAGCCCCGCCGTGGAGATGAGTTGATGCCGGGGCGGGAAAGGAAAGTTTGTCTTGAGAGCTTCTCTCTCCAGCGCTGCTTATCGCACCTTTTGTGCTTTCGCGTCGCATTAGACGGGCATTGTGGGTCGTGATTTACTCTTCAAGGGTTAAACAGCAACAGAGAGCATTCATCCTCCGTGTAAAGAGGAGGCCGCCGAGCTGATGGATGGGCAAACATGTGCATTCAATTATTATGCAAAACACCGAGAGGAAAACAACGCTGGTGTAGTTTACGATCGAGAAAGGCAGTTTTTGCACTTTTACAGCTACAGGTGACATGAATAGTTCTGAATTGTATTTCGCCCCAGGTTTCCCTCCCAAGAAATTCAATATTCAATATACACATGCGAAGCCCCTTTTCAGCGGCTCGCAATAACTAAGCTCCGAATTCTGCTTTTGATCTCTCACTTGAGACGCAGGTGAGATATTGTTTCAGTGTACGGAGAGGGCTTACATTATTTTCACAAATAATACGCGATGCCACACACTTCGGCCAGGAATTATTTGTTGTATTGATTCGACACTTGTGCCCATTCGAAAGCCATTATTCTGGAAACATTTCGAGAGAACGATGAAATATTCACGCGGTTGAGAGAGATGGAGAGGAATTTGATCAATACAAAATTTCATAGGCCATTGAATAATCCAATAAATGCACGGCGCATCAGGCACATCAGCAGCTAATTCCACCCCATCATCATCATCCAGCGCGTTTGTGTTTTCGCGGCCGAGTTGAATAATAATAATTTCCACCGCCCGCTGCGCCTGCAAATAAAACTAAACACTCTCTCACGTTTGCTCTGAATATACATGCATGCAAACACAAAGCACGCAGCAATAATGTGTCACTCCAAACATTTCGGATAATTTTGACGGCGTAGTGTTATTGGTCTCGCATGTGCGTGTATGTATGTGTATTATTTCGTGTCTCTCTCCCCTGTGTATGTCGTTGCAATGAATTTATTGGACCAATTATTTGTACCGAAAGTGCTGTAATTATTGGCCACTTGTGCCGAAATTGCGTCACATTTAGATTAATTTACAGCTCTGCTAGTTTTTGGTCCACTAATTAAGCCGCAGCATCAATTACTAACTTAATTAAACAGTGTATTCAATTGAAATTTATTAAATTAAATATTATTTTCAATTTCCGCTAGAATAATAAGAGAAATTCCTGCGTAAATTTAAATAAAAACATTTCTAATTTGAAATTTAAATAAACTGGTTAGAAGAGAAAATATGATCACTTCTTATATTTTCCTTAAATTTTCAGAGCTAAAAATTTCCCATGTCATATGCAGAAAATTATAATTTGGAACTTAATTTAGAATTTGAAATAAAAATCCAATGATAGTCAAATAAAATTTTATCATCTGATTGAGAGTGGTTCATGCAAAAGAGTTTTTATTTATTTTGATAACTTAATTTTCTTTTCAATCTGGTCTCCAGCGAAACTATTAAGCTAGTTTATGACGGCCGGTAGGTCGGTCTTTAAAATTTGTGGTTCTCACGCGAGTTCCGAGGTTAAGCCGGAGCTTCCGAACAACGCGTCGGAATTCTCATAACGCGTGTTTTCCCAGCTCGCGCGTGGGCGCCTACCTAGCTATTTATCCTATTTATACTCGGCGAGGCGTTAAGAGGGCGCGGCTGCTGGGAATAATAAAAATAATGTGGGCAATAAGTAAAAGAGCGGCGGCGGCGCAATAACTCGGGTCGAGGGATTAAGTCGGGCTTAACTCGAGTGAATCCGGCCCGGCGTGCACCACTCTAATAAAATGTATTAAGTAGCAGGGAGCTACCTGTATCAATTTGAGAGAGGTGCGCACGGATTGATGGGTGTTATCATCGGCCATTATGAGCGCCCGTTTACAGCCGGGTGTGGTTTTATTTCGGCCCAGCGCCAAATTGAATTAATTTGAAGGAGCTACCGATGCAGCAGCTTGATAAAAATCTGGGTTCCGTCCTACGCGCCTCTCAGAACAATCAATACCGCGCCTTGTCTGGAGCTATTTATCTGGCAATGAAGCGGATCAATCCGAGAAGCGACCAGGGAAAATTGGAAGCTGTGCTCATTTGCATTTATAGAGAGGGCCGCGCACGTAAATATCGAAAATAGAGATGTTAATCAAGGTTTAAGGTATAATTACAAGACCTGTGTCTGACGTTTGTTTCTTAAATTATTTATCTAGAAAGGTGTTCCTTTTAATTTATTTCTTTGTTGGTCCTTCTCAAGCCAGTTGATTTTTTTTGTAAGTTCAACGAACGCTCTCTTACAGGAGAGGCCTTCAAAAATTTATCATTGTTTTATTTCTCGGACAAATTTAAAAATATATGATCAATCAGATTTAAAAAAAAACACTCACACCTATACGTTTAATAAAACCCAAAATATTATGATGTAATAAAATATTATTTTTAAAATAAGATAAAAGAATCAATTCCATGTTAGAATATTTAATTGTAGCAAATAAAAATCGTCAACGAAAATCACAAACATCAGTATTCAGACTTTTAACTGTGGATAATCATACGCTGATTTATTTTATTACAATTTTTCTTCTTGGTCTTCTATACATTTAAATAATATAAAAAGATATTATACAATTCATGCTGCTTAAGCAAATTAAAATTTGGTCCGGTTTGGTCAAAATACTCAGTATAATTAATATTAATGTAGCACATTTTTTTTTTTTAATACAAGTCCCCTTCATTCATGTGTACAAAATAAATTTTTATTTCTGAAAACACGTCCAATATATTTTTGTTTCAAGTTGAAAGATTTTCCTACTTGCAAAGCCAACACAGCTGGCTCCAATATTTACGTTTATCGTCTTTGAAAGAGAGAAAACAGAGCCATTCAGAATTACTGCTCACAATCGGTGCTGTGTACTTGAGCGCGAGGCAACTTCTTGCTTGCTCAGGGACACAGGGGAAGTTGATATTGATTCCAAGTGGTAATTGTTGCACTTTATATCTGTTCGGCGGCGCCATTTTCCGAAACCACCTTGCTCGTGGCGAATGTGCAGCCGACAGCACTTTTGCCCCAGCCTTCCTAGTCTGCAGCTGGCGGCGGTAATCTGCTGAAGTAACACCAAAGTTGCGAAACTAACAATAAGTAGACACACAAGGTTTATAAGCAAAAGTAATCACGGCTCGGCGTGCTGATTAGCCGTTGCTAGAATGCGGCGTTAAATGGCTAATGACTGCTGATGAATTCAAGGCGAATAAGACGAAGGCGTGGGCAAATATTTGCCCTGCTCAGCGAGAAGTTCAGTTTTACACAACGATGAGCCCGCGGGAAGCAGTTGATGCGTTAAATTAATTTAATTTGCACCGCACAATGCTCTCCCGTTCGTTCCTCATTCTCTCCCTCTTCTGCCCGCAAGGCTAAATAATTTTTGCCTTTGTGCTGGCTGAAAATGTTGGTGGGGCTTATTTAATTAGGGAAAATAATTTACAATGCTTTTTCCTTTAAAACATGAGAGACTGGGAACAAAATGTTTTATGACATGAGTTAATTCTTTCCATCATTAAGTAAGTAAAAATATGTATTTACTTATATTGTTTTAATTATATTGGTTTAAAATTATTTTCAAGAAGTAAATTGTAAGATGTTTGTATCTTTGTTAATTAATCATTATATAAACTTCTGTTCATATTAAAACTTATTCAATACGTGTCAACACCGATAATTCATCGGAAAATTCTGTGGAAAATTCTGTTGTTCTGTTTTTTGTCTTGCGTTGAGAACGGGAAATAATTTTTAGAACATTTTGGCACAGCAGCTCTTTACCAAGAACAAAATAATTGGTTAACAACGTACGCATCATGAATCGCATTGTGTTTTTACAGCAGAACGTTGATTACATTTAACTTGCGGCTTCTTCCGAAAAAAAAATCAATTTTCCAGCGCACAAACAAAAACAATGTGGGGTAACTTGATTGCACGGATGCCAAGCCTTCAAAGTGTGCTTAATTGGAAAAATGAGAAAAATCTCATATATCGAATAAAGAAATATATTATTCCATCCGTGTTTCCCACGTAAAACGAGCAGTGCAATAATTTTTCAGTAAAAAGCACGATTGCATTGACAATGCGAGCAATAAATTGCACACCGGTTGCAGTGCACATTGGTTTTTTATTACGGGATTTTTGCAAAACAATCGCAATCGCCGAGCAGACCCGGTGTGTGTTTGAATTGCAATGCAGCGAAGCAGGAAAAGCTGTGAATAGGGAACACATATAGGTGCGGAGCGTGTTATTCGATGAGAGAGCGTTGCAAACACACACCGGCGGGGGAGACGCGCGCGATGTGGCTGCTGTGTTGGCAACCATTTCGCATCACGATAAAAGCTCTGAAGGCATATACACGTAAAAAGTTGCACGGCATTTGAACAATGCTGAAAAAGTTGCCGCTCCTGTGTGCGAGCGAGCGTATCATGCAAAATATGCGAGAGCGCCCCCAGCTGAAATATTTGCCTCTGTTTGCAGCCAAAACAAAATAGCTACATTTTCGCTCGGCGACGCCACTATACACTGACACAGTCATTAGGACGGAAAATTGCGTGCCGACGGAGAAATCCGGACCGACGTGTGCGTTTTCCAATGCTTGTCATTCTGTTGAAAGGCCTTTTGATCTGCAGCTGCCTGTTTAGAAAAAAATCTACTCTTTGGTAAATTTACAACTAGGATTTTTGCATGGAAAAACATGGTGCTCCAGGCCAAATTTCCATCGTTTGGGCGCGGTCAGCTGAACACATCATGCTTTGCCAACCATTTAGAGTTTAAAAATGCAGAAAGCGTTAATGAAGGGTATAGATACAAGTAAAAAACACACCCAAAAACGTTATAATGGACCTACACGGAGTGAATTGGGAAAAAAATCGATTTTTAGCTGAAGTTTATTTACTTTTCTACAAATTGTTTTTTCAGCTATGAAGAGTTTCAAGTTAATAACATTTTTGAACTCTCCTGCTGATGAATAAAAAACCATATCATAAACATATTTCTCAAGACATGGCCTTTATTTTTCTCAAAATTAATTTCTTAAGAGAACAAAAACAATATTTAAATACTGATTTCTACATACCAAAAATAATCAAACTGAAGCACAGTTTTTCAAAACATTTCTAGTTATTTATTTTTTACTAAATCTAGTAGGAATCCATATTGCATCACAATAGATAAATAAATGTAAGTTTTTTTTTAAATTCTTACAACATATTTTTTGCAATTATCACTTTCAAAACCCACATCATACTCTATGGAAAGTCATTATTATTCCCATACATGCGGCTAGACCTGGTATGAAACTGAGGTCTGTGTCTGTGGAAGTACAGCCAAGGTGTTGACATACCTTTCTCTCCCCGTGCAACTGTGCTCTGAAATAAAAAATTTTATAAAAAAAGCTAAAAATTTGAGATCAAAAGCACAAACCACTTTATTGAAGTAACCAACGTCTTGCGCATTCCAGTCAAATATTGGGGTGCTCGGCGTCGGAGAATTATGCATCATTCTGGTCTCGTCTAAAGTCAGCTCCTCATATCTAACAGAAGGATCCGACGTCACCCTGTTCAATCCAGGCAGATACGGTGGAACGTAACCATAAGCGCGGGCTACTCTGTGATGCCTCGGAGTGGCCGAGCTTAATGTGAGAATGAAGATACTTGCTAAAAGCTGTTTAAAAATTGATGAAATTTTATTAGACCATTATTTTTAGTAAATTAAATGTAGCTGCTCAGTTAATTATTTTTAACACAACCAGAATTTTTTATAATTTTGCCCTCTCTTCACTTTCATTTGGAAAGACTTCACTGATTGAAGTAAACGAAGTTTAAATAGTAATTTACAATTATTTAAAAATAATATTTTATAAGGAGAGATAGTTGCATAATAATATAATTGAAAATATAATTTATAATCAATTTAATACTCATTCTAATTTATTCTAATGATTCTAACAATACAATTTTTTATCACTAATTTGAAAAAAAATTTTTTAAAACAATGAGCGTAGGGAAAAAAATGAATAGTAAAATGTTCTAAAACTAACCTTTAAAATGAAAAATCTCCCCATTTAGGCAAGAACCGAAGTTACCGAAGCACTTTCTTATGATGTGCTCAGCTGCAAACACTCTTCGCAAGACTAATGTTATCTGGGCGAGTGACAGTCCTTTTATAATCTCTCTACCGTGCACAAAAAAAAAATGCAAAGGAAAAGAAAGTGCTGCATTAAAATGATATCGTACACAGGCGCATACAGCATAATAGTTTTTGTCGCGCTGCTCACTGCACGAGATCTCTTTTACGCTTCACGCACGTCAAGTTTAGCAGCTGCCACTAATTATCTCTTTTAAGCGCTCGGTGAACTCGCGACTGCTGCATTGTTTTAAATTTCACCGTCAGCCGTGATTTGTTACTGTGCGGTTTTGAACAATGAGCGACACAATGAAAAAAAAATGAAAGCCTGGCCTATTACGTCGTCAGGGGTTAATGATGTTCATTCATAAAGCTCATAAAAGTGAAATATAAATAAAAATTTATTTTGTGTGTGTGTGTGTGTGTGTGTGTGTGTGAATTTTTGGAATCTAACAAGGTGTGACCTAAAAATAAATATGAAATCAATAATATGTAAGAGAAAAAAAAACACATACAAATTATTTATTTTGTTTATTTTTAAGCATGATTTATTTAATTAATTAAATTAAAAACAATGATTGCTAATGCAAAAAATAAAACCAAATATAAAATTTTTTTAAAGTTAAAAGTTGAAATATTTCTTTTTCTTTTAATAAATGTTATCGGAACCCAAGATAAATATATAATTATTTTACCAGAGTAAAATAATAGTTTTCATCACCCGTTGACACTGTTTATCTCTACAGCCCAGATCATTTCTATCCCGTTTGTCCTCGTAAAAAAGTTTAGAGAGATGCGATAGCATTCGCCAGATTTGCAAAATCACCCCTTTTAGCCGCACCTTTTCGCTCCCGACCCGGACCGTAAATCCCAAAAGCAGTTCCATTAAACGACTTTGGGCGCAGATACGGAGAGAGGAAATAAAATCGGAACTACTCCCTCTTTCTCTCATTTGGTCAGCGCTCTCTCTCTCTCAAAGATGATCTTCTCGTGAGAACCCTGTCAACATGGTCGGTGTATTCCTACACGGTGTAGCGCTACCCCTCTTTTACACGCGTGTAGAAGACGTTTAAAAGAGGTATAGCTCTAGCGCGCTAGGCCTGCACGCATAATATGCGGTTTTTACACCTTAAAGATATGCGTATAATATTCGTACAGTAAATACGTGCTCTAAATATTTCATTCAAATCAAATTAAAATGCTTATTTCTTTTAATTAAACTGTTTTATGTAACCGGGTAGCACAAATAATGAAACCAAAAATAATTTTTTAGTCCTTTTTAAAATTGATTGTTTTAAATTTCAATTCAGCAGGTCAAAAAATTTCAACCACATTAATCAATCACAAATATTAGTTTTCTCAATAATTATAATAATACCTCTATAAATGTTAATAGTAGTTAAGATACTTTTGGAGAGAAATTCCTGTTTTAGATCTTGTTTTAGCTATATTTGGATTTTTTAAGACATTTCCTAGACTTAAAATTATAAACAATCTTAATTTATTATTTTTAAAATTTTAATTCAAGTGAAAACTGGTTTAAATATTTAACCTAAAACAAAACGGCATGTATGCAATATCGTATACATTGCTGCATTTAGGTTGCATACTTTTAGGGTGCTTTGAGACATCATAAAATACACCCTCCTGTAAAAATATCAGTTAGGTTTCCAGGGGGTGCTGCTATCGTTTAAATATTTTTAGGTTAGTTACACAGATGGCAGTTTTTAGTTTAGGAAATAATGTGGCCCAACCGTGCCCAACAACAAGAGAAAAATCTGCTGCTCCTTTTGTTGCGAGGGGGTTCATTGAAGCGCATGTATGTGTAGGGGGAGGAAAAAGGTTATTGTGCTAGAGAGAAATCTTCAAGTGACAAACAACTTGGCTCGCGCATTTCAAGATTTTCAAGTGTGCCACCGCCAGCTACTAGAAATAAAAACACAAAGCATTTAATTATAAATTAAATTGTATGTCTGTATGAATTTTGAAAAATTTTCTCAGCTGAAGATATTTATAAAATAATTTACAAACTTTGGCAAAAAAAAGTATGTAACTATTTTTAGCAAAATATCGTACATTTTTCGCGTTCTTTGTAAAAATCCTGCACCTATTAAATTTAAAGAGTTTTTATTGGATCTCAAACGGGGCGGCAGAAAAGGACTCGGTTCCGAAGCCAGCAGTGCTCGGAGGTTTCCGAGCTCGGAGCGGCTCGGTCAGGCTCGCTGCTGTACAATTCAGCCGCGTTTGCGCTCTTCTTTCGTTTCGGAACTTAGACAAATCTTCCTTTTCGTGGCGGGAATTAGCTTGCAGACCAAAAAATAATAAATACGTGCGAAGGAAAAATTTATTTTTTTTATTTAGGATAGAAATGTTTATTCCAGATCCAGATACGTTTTGTTATAGCTACATAAAAATTGCATGAAAAATTATAGAATTTTGCTCCGTAATTTAAATATTTCAACTTTGTATTTTGTGATTTAAAAATGTCTTACAAAATTTAAATAATTAAAAAAAATATCTAATGAAATAATGCGATTTCAGAAAGAACTGCACGTTGAAAAAACAGGGATCAAAATATTTAATATATTGTTGAAGTTTAAAAAATTGATAGATTTACAGTCATTAAAATGTTTAATTATAAACATTTGTAATTTAAAAATTTAGTATTTGTATTTTTAAGAACTAAATACTCATCCTACAAAAAATATGCCGAGGAAGAAATCAAAAGCATTAACAAAAAGTCTTAAATAAAGCAAAAATCAAGTCATTATTCCCATTAGCAACATTTCTACGAAAAAATGAAATCCATTATCAAAACGAAGCCTTCAATCTCTCTGCACACTAGCAGCAAGGTATGAGGCGTCTTCAGGAGACACGCAAAACACGCACTCTGCCGAGTTTTTTGTTGCTTCGGTTTAATTATCTCGGTTAATATTGCAATGAGAAATTAGATGTATGAAAATTTTATCAGAAAATGAGTCTGTGCACAATTATCCTCGATAAAATTTTGTGCTTCTGTAAATTGAAAGGAGATTTGGCACATTTTGTAATATATTTGTGAATTAAATACATTAAATAACTGAAAAAATTCTTGAAATTTGAAGGCCTGCTTCCTCAACTAATGGGCAAAAAGTTCTGAATCGCTCATGGCGCCAGTGTTAATAGAAACTGAGATAACAAATTTAAAAGGTGGAAAAACGTGATGATTCTTTTAAATTATCGAGTGAAACTGCAATGCTCCCAACAATCGGACAGACTTCATTTCAACATATTTTAGCTAGAAATTTTGTGGGCCATTGCAAGAAAGCATTTTGGAATGGAAATTTGACCTGGGTCACACCTGTGCCCTGATGACCCCAAAAACAGAATTATTTAAATTTAGCATCTTTGGAAGCGCCTTCTTTCAAGGATTCCAGTGGCGTCGACAAAATTAAATTCCGATTTCTAGAAGTAAAGTTATTGAATTTAAACGATTTAGATTTTTTAAGTGGCGCAGACTGTTTTTACTGTTATGCTGCGAGACAGGCGCGCGCGAGAGAGAGCACAATGTGTCTCCCTCCATTGACAGGGTATTATTATTATTATTTTTACATTCATTTCACAGGTGCTTTTCATTCTCTTTCTCTCAAGCTGCTCTTGAACTATTTTTTATATTGGTCAATATGCATAATTTGATTAAAAATCATGGTTTTTCCCTCACCGCCTATTTAAAAATTTCCATAATTTAAAAGTCACATTTTTCGGTCTCAAAAAAAAAAACGTACTCGCGCCGTATTGACAGCGCTACTCATTTAGCTTATTAGAGCCGCGATTTAGTAAATGACTCCGCACTTAGGGCGATTGATTTCCTTTCTTCTTCCCCTCAAATTTTAAAATTTATGAAAGGGCTGGAACTATATTATGAAAATGATTTCAGATTTAGGATCGGCAAAAAATTGGAGCTCAACAAACTTTGATTGACATTTGTAGCATGATCTGCTCATATTATTACTGTCGTTTATATCTAAAAATAAGTTTCAATTTTTTATTAAATTTTGAAATGAATTTCTCTATTAATTTTTTATTCTCCTTATTTCTTAATTTTTTTAATTTAATACAACCCTCGCACGGGTAACTATTAAAAAAAATTGCTAATCCTTCTAAGGACTTATTGTTGCTTATTTAATTTAGTAACGGCACCACGCCTAAGCAAAGGAATTTATTAAATTTTAGTAAGATAATATAACGAAGAAAATAAAAATTAATAATGAATGATAATAATTATTTAATAAATTCTTAAAAATTATTTTACTATAATCTGATTGCTAGAACAGGATTCAAAATTTCTTATAAAAACAAATTGTTTTTGCCGATTCCATTCCTGAAATCATTTTTCAAAAATTCCAGTCCATTCATAATTTCAAATTTTATTCGAAAAGCAGGGGAATTGAAGCGTTCGAGGAGCAAAATAATTTTTTACTCATTCGCGGCGCTAATAGTGCCAAATGAGCAGCACGGTCAGGCGCCAGCCAGAACGGTCAGCAGCGCGTTGAGACCCACTGACTAAAATAAAGGTGCCAGGTGTGTACATAAATGTAAAGTGCAATGCAAAGTGTAATGTATTGTGCAAAAGGTTTAGACATTGACTTTAAATGGTACAAATAAAATAAGCACAGTTTTGTTTTTAGCACTTTACTCTTAAAGAATTTAAAATAAAAATAGAAAAAAATAAATCAATTTAATAAATAAAAAAAAATGAATAATATAGAAACAGCGAGCGAGCAAGCAGGCGACCAAACTCTCGTGAAATATGTTCTTGTTTGTTTCGGAGAAAAAGCATCAGTCGTTGAAAAATACCCTTTGAAATCTCTCCCTCCTCGCTCGCAGGCCGATCGTTTGCTCCGCTTGCTCACGGCCACCGTGTCCTACAATGGGGATGTAAAATTTTGGAGTTGCTGTATGACAGAGGGGGTGGAAAAGGTTCTTCCTGACAGTTGCCAAGTGGTCAACTATAGCAAAAACACACAGAGCAGCGCATCACGCC